TTCAGTTCTGCCTTCTGGAAGGGTCACCATGGAGCTCTGTGGGCTGAGTGAGGCCCTGGTGGGACATGGGCTTGGAGGTACCCCCAGCTTGGCAAGGGCAGGGGTATGAGAGCTGGAGATCAGCCCTTCTAAAGCCCTGCTGGGACAGTGTTTGATGGCCCTGGGGCTTGAGATGGCACTGAGTGGAGGCCTAAGGAAGGAAACTGTTCTGCTAGTCCTCTCAGGGCACTGCTAGTTGTTAATGCATCATATAAGGACCATGCTGGAATACATGCTCTCCACATCATCAGATATGGACAAATACACTAGTGTTTACTCTTATTTTAAGTGTATTGGACCTCTTCTAGATAAGATCAAATATTTCTTTCCTGCCTTTACCTTTTAAAAGAAATATATGCCCTTAAAAGAGTATAGTCTGGAATTCCTGATAGTCTGGATATATGTATAGTCTGGATACCCTGATCCTCAGGGGAATCTTTTACAACTTAGTTTCATTTTGAGTAATGCTGCTCTAGGAATTAATTTCTTGAATTTCTTGAGAATCAGATCTGTCATTTTAAGAGAACCTGTTAATAGCATGAAATGAATTGTGAGATTCCCTATGTTTCTGAAATGATGTGTTCTAAAAGAGGTCAGATCTTCAGATTTGACCAATGACAAGGGGGGCCCAAGAGAAAATAACTCTTCTGGCATTACTAAAACAATATGGTCAAGACACCACATTGACCCCATCCTGCCTCTTCTTCAGCTTTTCTACATATATGGTGCAGTTCTGCTGATTTACTGCTCTGTGTCTTACCAACCTGACAGCCCCACATGGGGAGGTACTTGTTGCTATATGTAAACCATCTCTATAAGCTAGGCAACCTAGACTCTGAAATGCACTGCAGTCTAATAATAAATATTAAAAGTGCTTCCCAGTGTTTTCTATTTTCCCCTGATTTATCTTTCACAGATTTTTTCCTGGTTATCTTTCTATTAAAATTTATCAAAGTTACCTGAAATGACTAACCCTCTTATGGAATACAGATTGTTTCTGAAGCCAAGTATAAAGTAAGACTAACTCTAATTTAGGGATTATTTGGTGAAACTATCATATCCAGGATTACCAGATCCTCTCAATTTAGAAATATTTGTACACACTTCTGAAACAAACTGACACCTCCAGTAGTGACAATCCCTGCTCTTACCTCTATCTCACAATAATGAGATTACAATGACTCTTAAAATTTTAGCCAAAATTAAACAGTTTCTTAAAAGACTTCAGTTACAGCAGAGTATTTTGTTATCCGCAAAGAAGCGACATCAGCCCCCTTTTTCTTTTAATCTCTTATTTCTCCTTTTCTTTTAGAGTTTTCCTATCATTTTAAAATGTTGCAACCTGTCCAGCTCTTGTGATGCCAAATGCACTTTTGTTCATATAAATATAGAAGTACATACTGTACTAACAGATGTCCATCAGTCATGTTGACAATGTTGCATTTCTGTTAGTAGACTATATGTGGCACTAGTAATTAAAGTTTTTCCATTTTGTTGCCCATACTCTTTTATTTAGGCTATAAACATTTCTTTGATGTGGCTTTCTTGCTTATTTGTATTTAACCTCAATGATTCAAAAGCTAACCATGCAATGTTTTTGCTTTTTAAAAAGTATATAGAACCTTAAGACAAAAACTTTTCTCAGCTTGGAATGAAATGTTTCATTTGTGTATACTCAGTTAAATAATATCTGCTTACAGGATGACTTAAATGGGGAAAATAAAAAAAATGCTACCTGAGAGACAAAGACACCATGCTACTTCTTTTGCTGGTACTTCCAGAAAACCTTTTTTTTCCCAAAACTATGAGTTAAAAAACCAGTATTTCCCTCATATGAAAGCTAGATTACTTATTTTTCCTTTGCAACATCAAAATGGAAAGGAAAAGTAAAGCTTTTCCTTTGTTTGGGTATTGTTGTTGTCTATAACTCTGACATGGATTTCTGGTACTAAAAACTGCATTCCCACAGTACCTCACATTCATTCTAATAAATCCACAAAGCAGTGCTGAACCTACATTGGCATAAGCACTATAAGAAGTCTCGAGCAAAAAAAAAAAAAAAATTTCTTTCTGAGGGGTTTTGTCTTAGTTACTCTCATCAGACATCTTTAATCATTTAACATTCTTCTTTCTGTGTCTTCTTGACCCGTACTGTTACCTCAAATAAAATAATACTTTTGTGTATGTTTTTCTACATTTGTCCTGACTTTCCAGCTGCCAGTGCCTGCTTTCAGTAGGAGTTGTGCCTTCCAAGAGAGAACAATTTCTACAAGTATTGTGAAAACAATTGATTTCAATTGATTTTGACAGCATTATTTTGTCACAACTAAGGCAAAAAAAAACCTAAACAAAGAAAAAAACTAAATGTGGTACACTTTTCTCAAACAAATTTTAAAAAAAAAAACAACCCCAAAACCCACTGAATGAGCCTAAATCAATCACATGCTCAAATGTGAAATTCAGTAGCAAAAAATTACAGCTTTCTGCATATCAGAAGGCTGAATACAAATCTAGAAGTTTTGTTAACCCATTCATTTTGTGACTATTAAAACAGGACTTGACTTTTGTTATGACTCAGCTTTTCTACTTTTAATATCATTTTATAGAGATAACAAAAGCAGAAAGAGTTGAAAGAACTTTTCAAACATCACAAAATTTCAACTTTCTCTATTTGTACTTCACTATTTTTTATTTCATCTGTTTATGATTCTTTTTAGTGTATTCTTTTTAGTCACTGTGTACATAAGAGGAAAGTTACGGTGAGTGCATTCACATGCTTTTAGAAAAATTTTCCTCAGCATGAACACAACCATAGTTGCAAAGAAGGATGTGCACCTGCAGAAACAGGATATTTTGATTAAACATAGAATGGGGAAAATGTATTATTAGGCATGGAAAGCTTAAGCTAATAGCATGTGATATAGGGAGAGGGGAAGAGAAATAGATGACAGTAAGGAAGTTGCTTGTAATGCTGTCATTTAGTTGTGTTTAACTGACAAGCCAGGCAGCAAACATGTTATTGCTAAACTCAGTTTCACATTAGATGTAACATAAGGCAAAGTTTTATCTTTACCTGTTTACCACCCTTTACTGTCATGCTGGCACAAGTATTTTTACAGCCATGCAGCTGACTTAATCAGGGAAGTGATCCAGGTTAAATTGAACCTTTTTAATTGATAGGATAGAAAAAAAGTAGGAAAAAAAGAGAATAAGATGGCAAAAGGAAAAATGTTACTATTTCTTCTGACGACCACAATTTCAGTTTCAACCAGCTTATAGCATTCAAGTAATTGATTCTTGTACACTGAAGGGAAATATGACACCCGGTAATCCTAATTGCTGATATAAAAAGACAGATGATTTCTTCTGTCCCTGGGAAAAGTAAAGGTGTACTGGATGATGTGATTGTTCAACTGGCATAGGTCTATCAGTGCAGGAATGAAAAAGGGGACCAAGGACACTTTCTCACATTTTCTTTTATGAGAGAACCAGCTAGGCTGATCTCCCTTACCTTTTCTATGAGATGAGATACAATTTCAAAAATTTCATTAAATGTCAACTCTTTTTCCCATGTTATACCAAGAAATTGATTTGTTATTATCAGTCAAGAAAAATACCACTGTGTATTGTTACATATTTCTCCTTTTTGTCTTCCTGGTTTCTAAAACCATTTTAATTTTTCCAGGATTTGAAAGAAAGTTGGTTGTTACTTGAACTCTTCTCTTTTTCCCATTTTTAAACTGCTGATCCCAATTTTTGTCCTTTTTAGCATTTGAAGCTTTCCCTAGCTTTCATCAAAAAAAAGTTTGTCATTGTTTCAATCCATGGATTATTATAGACAGTTTGATTCAAATCACATGAATAGTTACTAACCCTTCCTTTTGCCTGCTGGCTTTATATCCCACCTTCTTGTTCCTTCTTGTTACTATGTTATCCCCATTAACTATCTCATCCTGCCCAAGTCTTTAATGAAGACTGGAGTACTACTCATACTTATCTAGCACTGTATATTATTTCTCTTCTTTGTGGTGGTCTAATGCACGTATGCATGGACACACACACACAAAGAATGAGATTGTCTACAGAGAAAGACTGTTTTTCAGCCCTCCCCTTGACCAGGTTATTAAAAGAAGTTTCAACTTCCCCAAATAGGAACATATTATAGTAGTGCTCCAAGATCTTTCATAAAACTACTTAACCTACAGTTAAAACATCAGGGCACAGTGAGAGCCAGCCGCTTCATCTGGGAAGGGAGCCCTTGCCAGCTGAGGCCCATCCTAGCACCCAGCAAGGTGAGCTGGGCAGCTTTTGTGAGAGCACTTGGGGTTGGTTGGTCAGAAGTGCTCATCATGTTTGCATTAAGCCAGGATAGAGTCAGTAAGGCAATTTTCTGCCACAGCATTATATATGGCTGGAGGAAGGCAAATGCCAACACCAGAGCTGGCCTCAAGCACAGGTAGCCCAGTTTTTCAGGGAGTAGAAGGAGGGACAGGAGAGATTTCTGATATTTTTGAGTCCTGGCTGGAACCAAGAATGAGTTGGCTCCAACAGGAATTGGTCAGATTTGTCAAAGTTTTACAGATGTCGACACACACATGATAACTGGACAGGATTAGCCATTTCATAGTTTAGTGTTTAGAGGGTATAGAATCTTTACCACTATCATATTTTCAAATACCAGCTCCTATGACCTCAGTCAAAGCCCAGTTAAATTCGAATATAATTTCTTAACTAAATTTAATTTTTTCCTATCAATCAAGGGCAAAATTCTACCCCAACCTTTACTTTAGGCTCAAGATATTTCTATAATGACCTTCCTTCCTCTCCTCACTTCACCCTCCAGAAGATATTTACTTGGACTAGATGAGATACCTATTTCTCTTCTTTCATTTTGGAAAAAAAAACAAAACAATTTGGGTTTGGACAATATTGTCCTTTCTCTAGGATAAACATCTTTAACTGGAGCAGAGAAAGCCAATAGGGCTCCAGCTCATATGTCCCATATGAATAATTTAGTCTGGGATAACTTTGTATAGAAATTCAAGTACTGCCTGGACTATATCACCATTTTCACAATGGCTGTCAGAAAAGAATATGTATCCATACTTGAGGAAATAATAAGGCTCTGCAGGAGAGAGTTTCTGACAGTAGAAAGCACATACTCCACTTGGATAATATGACAAACTCAACTCCTTCTCAGTGCTCTCAGCACACTGCATTGCAACAAACTTTCAGGGAGTCTGTTCTGTCAGTGACTTCTTTTCTTGAAAGTTTCCCATTTCCTTCCCTTTTATATGAACCTCAGGTGACATCCTTTATCTGTAACACATTCTTCTCTAATGTCAAACAATATTAAGTTTAACTAGATCATACAGAGTATTCTCTTCCTGGATATTATTTTAATAGCAGTTCAATATTCATTAACATTATCTTATATGTCAGAGACCAAGTTATTTCATCAGGCAAATAAAGTTGGCTTGATTTAATCAAAATGTATCTAATGGTTAAAAGAGACAAAGCTTTTGAAATAGTTTCCCAAGACACAAACTCCATTCTTAGGTACTCTGAATAAAGTTCAGCTTTCACAGTTCACAAAGCATGAGAGCTATCTGGCCGTTCAATGGAGAGCACTCACAGTCTCTGTGGAAGGCTTCCAGGGAGGAACTTGCCAAGGAGTCTACAGAGGCAGTTGTCATCAAAGAATAGTCAGTCAGCTATCATCTTTGCTGAGTTTTTAGAGTCTAGAGTCCTGGAGTTTGCTATCCTCCCACTGGGCTTCATCTATAGTAAGGAAACTTAAATAAAGAAAAGTCATGAAACACCCAGATATCAAACACACTTCCCCTCTTCCCTCCCACCATTTCAACCACAATCTTTCCTCTGGTATAATTCACTCTTAAAATAAAGAAAAACTCTCATCCCTCTCATGTTTTTGTTCTACTGCTTTGTATCTGAAAAATAGCAAGTTTAAGTTTTTTTTTTTTCATGCTGAAAATGAGCTTCTACTCTTGCAGCTGCCAGAGATGTTACAAGCAGCATTTTATTTTAAACAAAATCAATATGGCAGTATTAAAACATTTCTACCAGTAGAACAAACAGAATTAGGTTAAATGACAATCTCATTACTGTTGTAAGAACTTCAATAAATGGTAACCTTTCTTGCTAAAAATATAAAAGAGTGAAACCAAGACAAAACAAAAAAACAAATTGCCCAATTAAGAGCACTGCATCCTTAACACAACTGAAAGATCAATACCCCTTCAGATGCAATTGCCTCCTTCTGCCTGCATAAACAATTCATTATTCAAGATGTTATCTCGTAGCAGGATTTTCAGGCACAATTAACTTATCATGGGTCTTCACTGTTAAAACTAGAGTCCTCAATGTGGAGCCTGTTTACAAAAAGCACACCCTTTGGGCCTAAATGAAATAATCATATTCTTGCTCTACAAGAAAGAATCTTCACAAGTAATGTGGGTTTTAATACATATTTTTATGTTAAAGCACCATTTGAAATCAACATATTGTTGTGAAAGTGTTGATAATAACAAGCATTATAACCATGACAGTTATCCAGTTTTTCTTCTCACTTCTTCACGGTTTTCTAATATCTGAGGATTTTTATTATATTAAATGTTTACTGGTATTTTTTTAAATTGCAAAATAATTAGTGCAATTTTGACAGCTGAATTCAAGAAGTAAAACATGAGGTGAAACAGATTATCTGAAGAAAGATATTAAATCTCTGTAAGTGTTGCAGATAGTACTTAGCTTTGCAAGTCACTCTGGAAAATCTTGATTCAAAGATGTTTAAAGCCCACAGGGCTCTAGGACAGGGAAGCAGACTTCAAGACTCTCTCTGCATATTATCCACGTGAACGATTCAGTATTCGTGATAATATATGCTCTCTCCACCACATCATAGAAGGTATTACTACCTGTGATACACCCTGTCAAGATTTCATTTCCAAATAATTTCATAAATCATAGGGACATAAAACTAGAGGCCAAGCCTGAGCTCAACACCCTTTTCCCTCCTAAGCACCCTAATTGCCTAAGAATTTCATGCAACTTCTTGCAGTAACACACCTCTCATTTTCTGTATTAGCTGTTGTCAGATGGACATATCTATTCCTTATGAGGGAAAACCTGATCAAAGTTGGGCACATTTTTGAAAAGACTAGAGAAGTCAGTGGAAAATTGAACTGTGCTCTAGCCAAAACTTTCAGGAAACTCAAGGTGGATTCAGGAAGTAACATCAGGTAAAAAATATGGGTGGGAAACTCTTAAATATGCTAAAATATTTCCTTTTACTTTGAGGAGGGGAAGCATATTAAAAACATTTTGAAGTGTCCTTTCCCATTTGGAAACTGATCTTAATAGGAAAAACAGAACAAAAGAAGCAAATTTATTTTGGAGAAATGGAAAGTTTTTGGTCTAAACTGAAAATAAAACGATGTATTTTGTTTATGTCATAAAGTTCTCTCTTTCCATTGTCATTCCGTTTCTACCTAAAGTAATAGGTTTTCACTTATTTTTTTCTTTTCAACCAACAACCCCCAAAAATCCAATCCTGTTGAGTTATACTTGTTATAGTACAAACTGGCCTCAAGACTTTTTGTGTGATTAGAAGGATTGTACCCAGTAATTGCTTTTATAAGCCAGCACAGTAACTTCTCTGGAGTAGTCCGATATTAACATGACTCACTGCTAGCATTCAGAATGAAAGTGGAGCTGGAGAATGTACACCCTTTCAATTTTCCGAACCGGTATTCTCCATCAACTGAATGACTTTTTATTATTATTAAATTGATTAATATATTTTTGCTGGTAGCATGCCATATTACTTTTTGCTGTTATTAAAATGTTTTTAAAGATTCAGTACCCAAAGAAATACAATAGTCTTTCTTAAACTGAAATTTAGCCGGAGTGGGTCTTGCAGGGAGGAAGCATATGGAAAGCTCATCCTTACACAAGATAGCAGTGTGGCTGTTGGCTTTTTCTTCCCCAGGGATACAATCATCTAGCAGAGACGGGATGAAAACAAAGTTATGCTCTCCCTCCCTTGTAGCAGTCACTGAACATGGACCACTGCTCATCAAGAGGACTGATCAATTTCTAGATGATATCCACCAAAAACATAGCATGAGCAAGTACCTTTTCCAGCTTACTTGTGAATGTCATTTCCCTCTCTGCCATGTCTGGTAAACGTTTAGGTGTGTTCCTCTTGCAACAGCTCATAACACTATGAACACCTGTAAATCAATGAGCATAACCTTTGCTTGCTCTGTTTTTAGTGTTACTACTGGTGTAGTCAGATTTTACAGACAAACAGAAAACTCTACACATGTTATGTTCCTTAAAACACCTTTGCTTCATAGGTTCTTCCATGTCAGATGCCATTCTATCAGACTGCCTCTCTGCTTCTGTCTGTCACATAGCACCAACGTGTAACAGAATACTGGCTGTTCAAGAAGTTTCAACCTCTACTACCATATCACCAACCTCCAATGTTCTGGGCCAACTGCTTTGGAGGAGCCCTAGTACTTTGCTTTTAATGTGTATGCTTAACTGTATAAACAATGAAAATTATATAATCAAATAACATTAAGATGTTATAATGATGAAATAAGCAAGAGAGTTGGCACAGTGAGGCAAAGAGAATAAATAGGATGCTCACCCATATTGTGGGCTCACTCAGTAAACTCTAGTGGAGTGGATCTTCCAAAAAGAGAGAGATCCTTCCCCACTGGTAGTCAGCTCTTAAATGGGTCTAGGAGAGGTGGAGCCAGGCTCCACCCCTTCCTGCAGCACAGGTGAATTGCTTTCATCTGTGCTCCCAAGGCTGACTCATTGCTCGCCTCAGATGATTAATCAGAGGTTCAGGCCGTGACTCAGCAGTTCCCATCCATTAACCATAAAAGTATGTGAAATAAATAAGTCACATGTAATCTGCTCATCATTACAAATCCTCAACCAGGGTTGAGTAAGATCTCAGTCTTTTACTTGAGGGAAAAACTAAAATATGTCTTCTTTTTATTTTCTAAAAAAAAAATTCTCTTCCACTGACTAGTTCTGGCTGGCCATTTCATTCAGTAACTGTAAAACCAAAAACTCTCATTTTTTTAAATGGCAATTCAAGAGATACCACGTGAAGAATTCAAGGCACAGATAGTGAAAAAGTGTAAGGGATTGTTAGGTAATTGATTGTTTTTTCCTCTTGAACATTATTCCTGATATATAAAGAAGGATTACAATTTGAATTTTTTTTTTTTTTAACTGTCATTGCATATGTTTACACTATGTTTTGTGGGGATTCATTATTATCAGAAATGATATAGAAATTTGACACAGGGAATCTAATTAATTCTTAGAAACTGGAAGGCTCTGTGTTGATTCTCTGTGTCATAAACTCCAACCTGTGTTTGTGCACATGACTTTCATTTCCTCAAATTGAGTTTTTCTTACTGCGTATAAATTCCAAAGGCTAATGCTAGAAACCACATGTATTTAGGCTGTCTATCTGAAGACAAGATCATCATCTGCATGTTTTTATTGTAATTTTGTTTGAACTCTTTTTGAACAGACAGCTTGGTGTATGTGTAGGACTATAACACCAAGGCTAACCACAGAAATAAAAAGAGTCAGGCTTTCAACAGCATAAATTCAAACTAGTCCTACTTAGTACCTCCATTCTCCAAAACAAGAAGCACTGACTGGAGGAATTAATTTCTGAACATATAAAAGACCAAGTTCTTCTCAATCTTGAATATTAGAAAGTAGGGGAAAATGGAATAAAGAAAAACAGCCTAAATTAGGTATTTCTTTTTTGCAGAAACTAAGAAGTGAAGAAATATGTTTACTACCTTAAGGTTTGCAGTTAGGTCAGAAGATGTGGCATACAAGAGTTCTCTAAGAAAGATAACCCTTTGACTCCACACATATTGGATATTTGTCTCTACCAGTAAAGTTAAATCTACACATGCTCTAGGCATCTATGGTAGGTGAATGTTATTATAAAAATCACAGCATTCTCAAAATCTGTTTCAGTGTTCAATTTTGTTATCATATTTTTCAGTTGCTTAATATTATTTAGTTCTGGGTTCACTAGCTGATGGATTTACAACTCTATTCATGTGCTCTTAAATGTACTTAGAGTCCACAAACACAAATACAATCAAATGGAAATGAAATTTGGCTTTACATTTGTCTTGTTGCTTGCATTCCGACCTGACAGGAACCTGAGGCTACATTTCCTCACAAAAACAAATCTGTTCCATTAAGTCCAACACAATCGTAGATAGCAATATCATTTCTGAATGTTGCTACTATGTGGATATTATATTGGTAATTGTCTTGCAGCATTCCCTTTAGTTAAACTGAAATGCTGCCATACATACATTAATATTCTAATGAGTGCATCCCTGTCCTGCCTTCTTTGCACACGTAAACTTCCAGTGAAGTAAAAAAGAAATCTGAAGCATTAAGTACAGATAATCTGTATTAAGTCTGATTTGGACCAGCAGTTCTCTTGCACAGTCTCAGGATCTGTCTGTCTGTCTGGTTGTTGCCAGTTCCTATTCCTACAGGCAATTGCAGGTCTATTGCCATAGATCTGTGCAAATTTGTTCCCCTGAAATACAATTACACTACTGATAAAGAAACCTGATGCCAAGGTACGTTAAATGCTTCAAAGCAAACAAGTCAAGAAAGTCTCAAGAGTAGAGAAAAAAAGGTTTGCCATTAATACAGGATTGGAGGGTCTGATGTCATCAACAAAGCACATAGCCCATACTGTATCATTCATTTACAGCTATAAAGCTAATGAAAAGAAGGGCTATTCTATTAATATGAATTGGAGATGAAGTCTGAAGAACTGTGTATCCTTGCCAATTTAAATTGTTACTGTAGAGACATGAATAAAAGAATTCATAGACCTCATCCCAACACAAGGGTACTAAATCATCCTAAAATCAATATCAGTGTTTTGATTCAGTCATTTCTATTGGAGTTGAAGAAGGTTGGCATTTGTCTGCCAAGTCTGTGGCAGGCTAAAAGGTAGAGCTTAAATAAAGTGGAACGGAAACTACTCCAGCTGCCCCCATATACATTTTTAAATCCTGACAAGAGTCAGTCTGGGAATGTGAGGATTATGCCAGGCTGAACAAATGAAAAAGAACGCCACTTCTGGAGCATGTGTTTCTTCTCAGTCTAGAGGTGGTCTCCAAGTGGGCCTGAATTTCTTTGTGCTTTATGTTTGGCATCACTGAGCAGACTGCTAAGGTATTTTTGACAGACAAAAAGAAAGCAATTGGGCAACATGCCTCCCACACAAGATGATACTCATACTAGCCACTCTCCTAGCAAATTTTCAGACCTGCTTTACATTTATAAGATGGATAATTTCAGAAGCAGTATTTTTCATTTAAATTTCTACAAGCAGCAAAATAATTCTGGTTATTTCAGAAGAAAAAAAGAACAGTGCAAGCACAATGATGTTACCAGTGGGAATATATATATATAAAAAAAAAAAGAAAATATCATCAGTCTGCATACAGTCTTCCATTCAGCTGATATGCAAAAAAAAAAATTCAACTTTCATAAATAACATAGTAGCTAGTTTCAAAGAGAAAAAAAAAAAAACATACCAACAACACTCCCTTTATGATTCAAGTCTCCAGTATCTGACACATTTGATATTGTCTTTCTATTCTGCATTAATCTGTGTATTTGTTTTCAGTTAGCAAAACATTAGACTTCCGTGGATTTAGTTTAAGCCAGTTAAAAACTGAAAATTAATACAGGAATTATGACCAAAGTCACAGAAGTCAGATCAACTTCTTATGCAGAGTGGCTTACCAACAGGGTATCTATCCTGTGTCCTGCACCCTTTGATTAGAACTATATTATGCTACTCACTCAGAAGCTAAAATCTATAGTCTTGTTGTCCAACGTATTCTGAACTTTTAAATCCAATAATTTGCCACAGTCACTGACTCTGAAATAGGTATCTAAAAGCACAGAGGCCCTCTGAAATATTCAGCTCAGTGAAACTGAACAAGAAAGTACAAACTAGCATTCTCAACTAGGTTAGTAGGTAAGTGAAAAGAAAATAGTGTCTGAAGATTCTTATGAGAAGTTCAAAAGGTTTACTTCCAACATACCTTCCTGCACTCCACCCAAATGTTACAAGTCATTTCTCTTGTGGTCTTGCTCTACATCTTTCCTTCAAGATTTCAGAAAAGCTATATGTCTTCAAGCATGTTGCATAGGGAGTTAAGAAAAGTATATTCCATCAGAGAATTTTAGCATGTGTAATGAAGATTGTTTATACTTCATACACACATAAAGGCACAAAACAGTCATGCAAACCTCTCTTCATTCCCAATGCCGCCCTCAGGTCAAGCATTCAAAAGGTTTCCCAAAGGATTCCCTAATCCTTGGAGTCCAGTCCCAGCCCCAAAAAGGAAAACTACAGGCTCCCAAAATGCAACAGTAGCTATGTAGTTAAAAGCCTATTTCTAAGTTCATAGTACAGACAAGCAGGAGTACTGAAGCTGACAGACTTAAACTGATATAGATGTCAATATGATATATGGTGAGGTATAGGTATCCCTAAGCCTTTTTGCTGATGTATGTAATTTTCAGACTCATTTTTGGTTGAAGACACCAAGAATGTGGTAGGTTGGGAAACACTGCTGGAGTTACCTTGTAGAACAGGTTGGAAAAAATACCAATATGAGTGAAAATAATTACATCTAAGGGTTACCACAGAAGTCACTGATGCAAGTATAAATGCAAATTTAGAACCAATAAAAGCTGTGAACTGATGTCAGGCTGCCAGTTAGGGCTGTGCCTACAATGCTTGTGAAGATCTTAAAGAGAACTGTGGTGGGCTGACAGCTGGGACAATCCTCCCATTGGCCCAGAATCTCTGAAGGAAATTGGAAATTTAAGAAGTTTTCCTACTGACTACATCTCCTAGTCATCCATCTTCATGATAGCTTTAATTTTACATGTCAAGCAGAAATACCAAATTTGAATCGAGGGTTTTGAGAGCTGGAGAATTTGCCACACACTTTGAAAAAAAATTCAGTTGATGAAAGACTCAACAGGAGCTGGCAGTGGGTGCTTGGAGCCCAGGAGGCCAATTGTATCTTGGGTTGCATCAAGAGAAGTGTGACCAGCAGGTCCAGTGAGGTGGTTCTGCCCCTCAGTTCTGCTCTCATGAAACCCCAGCTGTATTATTGCATCCAGTTCTGGGGCTCCCAACACAAGAAGGACATGGAGCTGTTGAGGAGAGAGAGGAAGGCCATAAGGAAGATCAGAGGGCTGGAGCACCTCTCCTATGAGGACAGGTTGAGAGAGCTGGGGCTCTTCAGCCTAGAGAAGAGAAGGCTCCAAGGAGACCTTATAGAGACCTTACAGAAGCTGAAGAAGGCCTACAAGAAAGCTGGGGAGGGACTTTTTATATGGGAAGGTAGTGACAGGACAAGGGGAAATGCCTATAAACTTGAAGACAGAAGATTTAGACTAAATATTAGGAAGAAATTCTTTACTGCGAGGGTGGTGTAACACTGAAACAGGTTGCCCAGCAAGGTTGTGGATGTCCCCTCCCTGGAAACATTCAGAGTGAAGCTGGATGGGGTTTTGAGAAATTTGGTCTAGTGGGAGGTGTCCCTACCTATAATAGGGGGTTTGGAACAAGATGATCTTAAGGGT